ATACAGTGGATACATTTAATATTTTGATATATTATTTTTATTTTTAAAGGAGGCCGAAAGTTCGTTATCGAATGAGGTATATAAGCGTACTTAAGAATATATAGTAAACACGCAAAAACCTATTATTGAAACCGGAAATTCCCTACTTGACGCAAGACTTTACCGATACCTTGATTTTTACTGTCTGGGTAGTCCAGGATAGAGCCAATGACGTCATAGATCACTCAGAATAATATATTAAGTTAATGTACGAAGCGATCGGTTCTTCGTACTAATGTAAATATTGAGGAAAAATCAAAAGGTCACATTCTGAGAGCTTCAGAATTCTTAAGAAATGAATAAGTAACCAACCGCAAGGCAGTAAGTAGCTTTCTACAACATATAATATTTGAAACGTCCTCATTTGCAAGAAAAGATACTTTATATGAGGCTCTCATCAACACGATGTAATAGAAAGTTATTTTCCATACTTTGTTAGAACAACTGCCATTCTCACAACAGCTAGACGATTAAAGGAAGTACATTATAAAATTTAGTGTTGATTTCCAATATCATTAGTAATCTAATGACACCGTAATACAATTTCGTTTATAATAAAAAACTACCAGGATAAACCGGTGGCAATAAAAACCATGAAAATGTCAGAAGATGATGTACATACCTATATCTATTGAATTCTTATTTACATACGTCATTTGTACATGTGCTAAAATGACGTCTAATAGAAGAAAATTTAATCAGATGATTTTTTCTGCTGACCCCAGGTAAAGTGAGATAAAGTCAGAATTTCGAAACTCAAAACCAAAATCAAAATGAACAAGTTCTTCCAGAAACCGTTTGCGAAAACCAGTTATTCAACAACGAAACTAATTTGTTCCGAATTCTCATCAACATAACCGGCTCTTCTGATACCAATAACAATATTATTATGATATGTGATTTAAGCAAAAACGTAATAAGAAACAAGCACTTGTTTAAATTTCAATCATAAGCTAATTCTATTCCCTTTTAGTACAAAAATATAATATAAGGGTGATGTTTCTTTCTTTAAATTATTAAATTTAATGTTTTGTAATTTTCTTTCATAAGTCGGTAATGCTTCCACACTGCTGTTATTTTAATCGTGTACAATAAAGTGTACATAAATAAAATAATTAAGTACCTCTCTCAAAATGCCATCTAACTGCGAAGTTTGGTCAAACTGGAACCTGGGCAGAGTGACGTCAACGGTGTACTCCCTAAGATTGTCCAGCTCTTGGCGAAGACCACCGATGTCGTTCAGTACTCGTGGCAGACCCAGCAGTGAGTTGGGCACTATGATGTACATGGCGTATTTGTTACCCTGCAAAGTAAGTAAGGAGTGCATAAGAACGAGCATAATAGAATAAAGATACACTTTATTGTAACTACAACATTTTATAGAAAGCAACACACGCTATATAGGTCTTTATACAGGCTTCTTTATCAGGCTTTCATACAGGGGTAAAGAACTGAGCATCAATATTTTGAGTCTCAGAGCCGATTCTTTCTTCCAACGTCAGATATAATTCCAGGAATAACTTTGAGCATTGATAATCCTTGCATAGTAAAAACTGTCGAATACCAAGAATTATTTGTTGATTGAAAAATTGGCTTTTATTATAATAAATAGTTCTTTTTTATATTTGATGGGCCGACGTTTGACTACTGTCTCGTCTGGTGGTATGCGATGATGCGGTCTACGATGGATCACGTCGTCCCATAAGCAACCTATTCACTCGGGCCTTGAAGACACCCTGGTTCATCATTTCCTCAGTTAACTTACGGTCGATCAACCGTTCTTTATAGATTAAGATGAGGTTTTAATGTAAGTTCTTGTATAGACTTGGATCTAAATTTCTTTCAAAAACAGATAGATATCGATAGGTATTATAACATCGGTGATTAATTTTAGCCGTTATTATATGGATTGTTTCAACTTTCTTATCAAAAGGAATAATTAAGTACGCGATAAATAAAAATACAAAATATGTAATGTTTCAAAATTAATTTACCAAATAAGGCATCCTTAAGATCTTAGCATCGTATTTAGTAGACTCGGTGTAGAAAAATTTGGCGTTGACGTTCATATAATCGACGTACGACACAAGGCGCGGTGAGACGTTGAATTTTCCAAAATGGGTGGCGTTGGGAGGGAACTGATGATACCAGCTACCCTTGAAGTAGAGGGTGTTCAGCACCAGCACCACCATGTTGGCTACGTCATCTGTAAACAAGGGAAATATTGTATTATTAATTTAGGTTATAAAAATGAAATCAAGTTGCGGTACCCTGACAGCATCATTAGAATTGAGATCGAGTGGGATGTTAGTATTGTTGAATACGTCTGTGGCTAGCGAAGACCTTTGTTCAATTGGAACGTCATAATTATATTTTTTGGGTATATTATATAAAAAGCTTTAATTCGAAATGCTCATATTAGCTTGCTAGTTCCATGTTAGCTTGATATCTAACGTTGTGAGTTAATAATTATTCAGCAGTAGTTTTACACAGAGGCAATGTAACAATAAGCAATATAGGTATTGTGTATCGTTGTAATTTACATCGGCGAGTTAAAATAATGAATGAATGTGCACTTAAACAATGTGCTAACACAAACTACGTACATAAGTATTTCCTTCCGTACCTTTAATAAAGCATACTAAATAGTTTAGTATGAATACTACAATACAGTAACTATTTTTATGGCATTTATGAGCTTGGCAAGTAATCGAGTAGGCGAGTCACCTGGCAATTGGGTGCTTTTCTTAATCAGAAATAAAATTATTTCGACTGTTCGACTTTCAATACAATAAAAAATAAAAAAATAATCACTTTTTCTTTAATTGATTTTATGGCCAACTTAATTGTAGTATTTTTCCAGCAATTTTTTAAGAAATAAGTATGCTGCTTGACCTTAAAAAAAACGTGACGCCACAATACACAATCTCGTACAAAATTCATAGAAAACTGTCGTTTTTGACAGTTCGAAAAAAGTATTGAATTTGAGTACCTAGTTGGCAATTATCTGATTGGTACCACCCTTCGACACTTGCAACACCAGAAAAGATAAGTGCGTTTCCGGCGTTGGATGAGGAGAGATTGGGTCACCGGTAATGATTAACACATCCTGTGCATTGTACTGACATGAATACGGAAAACAGTGACTGTGTGTGGATAGGTTAATGCACCTGTGTGAATCATGTGAATCTTTATTATACAAGCGAGGATGTGTGTATGTTTATATGTTATGTACTTTCGCGCGGTTTCACCCGCTCTGCTCGGTGCCTAATGATCATAGGGTGATGTTTTATAGCCTATAGACTTCCCCGATAAATAGACTATCCAACATAAAAATAATTGTTCAAATCAAACCTGTACCTGAGATTAGAGCGCTCAAACGAACAAACTTTTCAGCTTTATATATTACTAGCTTTTACCCGCGGCTTCGCTCGCGTCACAAAAGGATAAAAAGTAGCCTATGTGACATATACCAATACACACAGCGCCATCTATACCAATAATTTCGTTTTCCCTCGATAATATACATTTTTTCCGGGATAAAAAGTACCCTATTATTTAATCCAGACTTCTAACTTTACGTCTGCAAAATTTCAAAGCAATCGGTTTAGTAGTTACGGCGTGAAAGTGGAACAAACAAACAAACAAACTCACTTTCCCATTTATAATATTATGTATAGTAAGGATAAGGATACTGTAAGATTTCACGTAAAAACTACTGAACAGATCTGAACGGTTGGCAAAGAGACACGTTATGGTTGAGAATAACACAATTATGGTCTACTGTTTACGAGTAAAGAGGGTGAAGCTTCTCTTCTCTGGTGTTGCGGGTGTCCATACGCAGCGCTGATTGCTTACCATCGGGTGTTCCATTTGCTCCTTTGCCACCAATTTAACTATTTGAGTACCGTCATTATAGACACAATTAAAGAACAATAGGTTGCGGTCACCGGTGTCCTCGCAGTGTTTGACAGTTTAAAGAGAGATTGCTGACAGAATTCATTTTAAACCGACTTCAAAAAAGGAGGTTATCAATTCGACCCTTATGTATGTAATATTTCCTAGTAGTTTTTAGTTCCTAGTAGTTGTTAGTCTATATCAGCGTCTGAAGAAATCTGCCAAATATCAAAAGTGTATGTACTTTTTTATGTCTGTGTTCTTTATAATCTTCTTTTCATTTTTATCGTCAGATATTCACCTACCTTCGTTCACCAGCGAGGGTATGTGTCCCTGTGTAATATTCGAAACCCAGGAGTTGATCTCTTTGGAGGCAACGGCCGGGTTGTTGAAGTTGACATTCTTCAGCTCAGTCTTGTAAAACTCCTCCGCAATGGCTGCGAACCTCTGTCGCGGATGCGTATTGTCACCGACGTAGATCCTGCTGCCTAAGTTTAGAATGTAGTATGGTGACTCTTTCTGAAAGACAATAAACCATAGTTCAGAGAGAATTATAATTATATGTATGTCGTAGTGGCCGCGGTCTAAGGTGCTCCCCGCTTCTCATGCATGAGGGTGCGTGTTCAAAACCTACCAATAGTAAGTACCAATGTGACTTACTCTGATTTACATGCGGGCCGCGGACCGCTTGCGGCCCGAAACTTGTTTTCATATGGCCCGCGACAGATTACAACTTTAATCTCAAAATCTTCATCTTATGTGTAACAACAATAATAAAATTCAGTGTATAATTTGTCTACAAGTTTGGTCTATGAGTAAAAAATACAATGTTAAACGTCATTATACAACTGAAAACATTTTTCTGGCCCCCCAGCTTTTGTAAGAAATTTAATTATCCCGCGAGGGTATATTGTTTAGACAGCCCTGTTCTAGACTAAGCTACTGCTAAGTTTTCGAAAAACCGAACAACGAAACGTGAACTTGTGCGATGCATGTTATTTATACTATTTTATGTTTAAGATGCAGTTTCCTTAACGTATATTATTCAGGAAATACACTATTATGCGATTAGTTAGTGTATGTCAAGGATAGTATGATGACGTCATTTAGGTAGTAAATATAGTAAACCACAGCCTTAAACTTTTTCTTTCTTTGACGTAAGTTTCGTTTTATTTATATGTATGACGCGGTAATGGAAAGGCGTATATGCAGAATTGGAGGGAAATTGCCAGTATGATATGCAACCCCTACCCACCTAAACAGAACCCTTTATAGGACGGCTCATACAAAGTGGCCAGTAAACTGGACACTCACTTCAAGGTCGTTATCACATACATTTTTATTTAGGTATATATTGAACCTTATGAACATTTACGACTCGCGTTAGAGCACATTAGCCCGTCAACTAGCCAGCGTTCAAGTTCGCCGCGCGACATTTTAAGGGCTAATTTCTCAAACATCAGTTAATTCTTAACTATAGAATAAAATTGTTATTTGACAGTTTTTAATATGGAAGAATTGTTAAATATTAAAAGTTATACCTACCTCAGTTAAGAATTAACTGATGATTGAAGAATCGGCCCTAAGTAATAAGTACCTAGGTACATTAAATAGTCCCACTCATAAAAACCAAATTTGTTTATACTTGATGAACTATTAACATATAATTTGATAGAGTACTCTCAATTACAAAGCTTTTCCAAATGGTTCTATTGACCCCTACAAATATGGCCGCTAATAAACATTACGGTATAATTATACCACTATTCTATTCTCATGACACAGAAAAACGCTTTAAATTACTTGACCCCGAAAATACATAAAATAAAATAATATATATTTAAAATATAATTTTTGACTGCCTCGTTGGCCGAGTGGTCGCAAGTGTGACTGCCGGGCAAGGGGTCTCGGGTTCCCGGGTCGGGCAAAGTATTATTGGGTTTTTAAAAAAATCTCAGTAGTCTGGAATTGTGGCCGGTTTATGGATTGCTATGAACCTATTGAGGTTCACCTCCTACTATATGGGACTCATAACATAAATGGTGAAAAGTGGATGTTACATTATACAGTAAGAAAGAAAGAAAGAAAAATAATTTATTTGGTACAACACCAGGCACAAACACAATACAATAAATACAATGCAAACAAAAAATTAGGAGTGAAATAAAAAATTAAAAAAAAACATAAATAGTTGTAGGTACATAGGTATAGGTATACAAAATTTAAAAGTTAAATATACCAACAATAATCATGTGCCCGACAGCTGCACCAAAAAAGGTCCAGTTCAGCATAAATGCCAGATATCTAGTGCCTGACGCTGGTTTTCAACTGAACCTGTGGCTGTGACGCAACGGACGTAAAGCAGTAAATGCAGAGTAGCGTGTGAAGTGTATTACAAAATTATCATGTAATTAATATAGTTATACCATAATACATACATACATATAATAATAGGGTATAGTAATTAGCCAAAAAAGATTTATTAAATATGATAAAAATTATATTGCGTGTGTATGAACAGAATGCACGGGTACATTACTTATATAATTGAGGTATTTTGCACCACCATATCAAGCCTTCGCTGTGTATCGATGAGGTATTGTCGCAAGCGTCTTCTAAATGCACCCATTGAATTTGTACCTCTAATAGGTGGTGGGAGGTTATTCCACACTTTGGAAGCCGCATAGCGAAAGCTGCCCCTAAAAGCGGCTGTACCATATGACTTGGTCGCGAGTTGCTGTGAACATTGCCTTCTTTCACATTCCCAGTAGGATAATGTGCACCTCTGTCTATCCCTTCGGGGATAAAAGGCGTAATGTTATTTGTATATATGTAATATTTTTTTAACATACATATATACAATAGGAAATTAAGAATAATATTGGGGTCAAAATATTTTATCACACCATCATCAAAGGTTCAAGACAGTCTACTAGGAACGGCACTACGGACTTTCTCTACGTAAGAAGGATATAGCATTATCTCCACGCTTGGCAAGCAGATTCCGACCCGCCTGCTAAGAGGTCCAAGGCGACCAAGGTGATCTCCTAATCACCGTTGAAAAGGCTTAGGTGCGCATCCCAGTTAAATAGTATTGTATAAAATGTTATCCTACATTCTATATTATCTTTGAAAAATTGGGTCTCTAACTTTTTTCTTTATAAAGCTGAGGGTAAGAAGGATGCGGTGGATGGAGTCAATGCCTACTATAATTACGGATAAAAAAATTCATTTATGAGTATGACATAAACCCCCATCCCATTCTTCCTTTCACTGATATAATACCGGAATGTTGTTTTACTTCCAAAATCAACCGGTTATTTATTTATTTTAATGAACCCAATTTGATGATGGCACATAAGGCGAACTACTACCATATAATTGTCTACCAGTCAACCAGGGTATAAGTAGAAAATCTGCAAAAATTAAGGTACTGAGAATAAACTAAAAGCAAAGAAAAAAATATGTCAAAGTTATGTCAAGTTTAGATTTTTATCCGCTATCTTAAAAATACTTACAACAATACTCTTGACTCACCTGTAGAGACTCAATAATAGTGGAGAACTTTGATCTGACTAGGTTTCTGTCAAGGTCGAATCCCAGGACGGATGAGAGCTCATTCTGGGTGACTCCTGTAGCTGCTTCCGTAAGGATGGCCAGCGCCAACTTCAGACCCAGAGGAGACAAGAGGAAATTCTTGTCTGATCCTGCTGCCACTCGCTGGAAAAAAGAAACCATTATATAATTTTTCTTATCCCAAAGAAAGACATTAATTCCACACGTTAAAAAGGGACAAGTAGGTCCAGAGTAATATACTGTAGCACATTACTACATGGAATTTAGTCCATCTACTCTTATAAATAAGATGTATTTTTCACTGAATGCCATAATCTTATCTATCTACCTATAGTTAATTGCTCATTATGTATGTACTACACAGATTAGTATTAGATAATATAAGTATGGTCGTTTAAAACCAATTGAAGTTATCTAAAGTAAAGATGTTTGGAAACATTTGTTTACTGAGTCAGTGAGTACTGAGGACAGGGTTGTAACAAACAAACGGTGACTATCTGTAACTAATTAATTACATTAGTATTTAGCTCAGAGTCCTATTGTTCTTAAGGCAAATTAACTAAGTGCCTTGGGAGCCGGGCTACAGAGAAATGCCGCGAGACGCTCACGTCCAACAGCCCATAAGAGTGTCGACGACTCAAAAAAACTGGGGCGCCTATGACGTGCTTGTCTAGGGCATTCTTTAGGTTTAACCCTACTCTGACTTACCTTTTCCCTTGTGGACAATGACAAGTCTAATAAACGATGTAACGATCATTGAATGAAGCAACTCTTCAAGCAAATGTTAACATTTTCCAGTTTATCTCACCTTAGTCAACGTCCAATCAAATTGGTCATAATCAGCGGGCACTGGGCTGAAGACGTCGTCTGGTGGTGGGGCAGGTGGTGCAGGAGTCACTGCCACCACCTGTTTAGGTGGTGCAGGAGTCACTGGAACAGCTTGTTGAGGTGATGGTGGTGGTGGTGGTGCGTAACCATTCCTGCCAAACACCTCTTGAATGGCTTGAGGGTCCAGGGACATGTTTGCTGAAGCTGTCATGGCTAAGCATGCTGGAAACAAATGAGCAACTATTTTTAGTTTAAACAAGTGGCGTAGTTCGTGGTGGCTCGGAAGTTAAGGCATCCACTTCGGTTGCAAAACATTGTTCCTAAACCTGGCAAAATATTAATGTGACCTCTTCAGTGTTATACCTGTATTAAGTTTCCAAAAAATAAAGTCTTATTGCACAAAAAGAATGTGAAAAGTGCGTACATAACGTATGTACATAAAGACACTTTTGTTTTCTCCTCCGTGGAATATCGGTAATATCTAATGCCTATGTAGGCATAACAATTTCTCGCGGTTAACCACGGAAAAACCGCGACGTGGAAAACCTAAAATTAATTTAGGTTCTGCAACACATTAACTATATGGATATAGCCATCATAGGCAGCTATTAACTATATGGGCTTTGACGCAAAATACAAAACAGTCATATGTAAATATTACATACAAAATAGGCATATGTAAATAAGTCAATTGAACCTTTGTACTTAATTACAGGTTTTTCCGAGATAACAACCAATTATTTATCGCGTCAATATTTAGAAACTGAATCACGTGTGAAATTTACCATTTTTTCATAAGAAGGCTACCAAATACTGTTCAATTGTCACCCAAATAGTGGAAAGGACATCTCCTGTCCTTGCCGTACTAAATGACATCGGAACAATTCGGACTGCAAATTCGCGATGCGTATGTGATTGTATTTGCGTTTGTTGTGTACTTGCCTACAATCCTAAAGAATTCATTTATCAGAAAAACTACTAACTATTATTTCTTGCTGTTAATCAAATGCGAACTTTTTTCTATAAACACAAAATATCGAATACACTAGTAGGTATCTATTTACTATTAATCATGTTGGTAAATATATTCGTGTAATTGAAAATATTTTCCTTATTTTCTTGTAAGCTAATAGTGTTAGTGTTAGGGACTTCACTGAGTACGTTATAATTGACCTTTATGAAGATGTACGTACTTGCGGTCACTAATAAAGAGTTTTAATATCAACAGCTTAGACCATATAAAGACGTCCGTGACCCGTGTAAAAACCTAAATTTGATTAAACCCTAAACGCTTATATTCCTTACAACTTTTTTAGAAACTATCAAAGTCATTTTAACACCTCAAGGCTTCTCATTATCATCATCATATCACCCACAAGACTTTCACAACTTCAGCAGTCAAACTAATGTTCATTAGCCTACCAATTCCAACCAGAATATAATATGGATGTCGGAGTGACATCTGACGCAAGGACCTGCATCCAGCAGCTTCCTGTGATCTCTATTAGGTTCTGCATACGTCTTTAACTTACACGCTACTCAGGTGGTGTCGCGGAGAACCTAACGGGTAACCGGACATGCAGGAGAAGGAACGGGGTGGTTTTTAGTCAGTAAGAGTCTGACACTCCCTCATTCGATGATTTTCCCCCCTTAAAAAAAAAACACCCTACTCAGGTATTTATTAGAATCGTACCCTCGTACATACTAGTAGAAGAACTTTTACAACATCACACTATACATACGTAAATACTTAAACACTATTTCAATTTCCAATCTACTGTATAAGTTACATAAAATATAGAAAACTGTCATTAATCATCTTCAATTTGCGACGGGAGCATGGAATGTCCCGCATTTGGCATTAGGTTTGCCCCTTTTGCCATGAACGGTAGATTATAAACTAGGTGAAGGTACTCATAAGTAGGTAAAGTTAAAACCGACATGACAAATGAAAACTATTATTAAGCAATTAACAAATCGTTTCTTGTACTTTCCTTTTACTTACAGGGACAATCACCTGATGGCAAGCAATCGACGCCACCCATGGACGGACACCCGTAACATCAGAGGCGTTACAAACTTACAAGTGCGTTGCCGGGCTTTTGGGGATTAGTAATTTGAGGATTGTTGGAGATTCGGGGTCACTCACACAACGCAAGCTTTGTTCACGTCAGCTTTCTGTGAGGCTGTGGTATCTATCACTCCGGTCGAGCCGGCCCATTCGTGCCGAAGCAAGGCTCTCCCACACTTACGTTTGCACATGTTTTGTTTTCCTCAAAATCTAGATCCAGTTCTTACCGTTTCTTGGTAGCCTATAAAAATATGAAGTGAAAGATATTTAAATACTTGTAATGCACGACTAATGTGCCAGGTTATCTACAGGTCAACTGGATAGCGTACGACCGATACTACATAATATGTAGTTTTGTTTATAAGTTTGCGACGCGCAAAGCAGCGTAATCTTTGCATTGCTTTTTATAATATTGGTAGGTAGATAAGTATATTTCTTTCGTGGGATAGGCCTGCCTCAACTTCCCTACCTGCAAACTCATATAAATAATGATGTACTCTAAATCCTACAGCTATGAACCGAACTGAGAAGTACAACGCGTCGCAAACATGTGAACAATAATTGGCTTGAATCACACCACCAAAATAAAATATTATTTGTATTTTAGTAAACTTATTCAGGTGTTCATGTTTTTAGAGATCCCTAATTTTTATCGGCCTCCTGGCCACCACGACATTCACGACTGGAAATTAATCCAAAATCTCTGAATTGGACCCATTTATCCCCAAGCGTGACCAACCGGTGACCGTTCTCCACTAACTGACTCGACTGCACGGTTGGTGCGGTGGCTGGGCAACCGGCTGCCGTGCAACGTGTCGCGGGTTCGATTCCCGCACGGGACAACACTTTGTGTGATCCACAAATTGTTGTTTCGGGTCTGGGTGTGATGTGTATGTGATATTGTATGTTTGTAAACGCACCCACGACACAGGAGAAAATCCTAGTGTGGGGCAACGTTTTTAAAAAAAAAAAAAAAAAAAAAAAAAGAAAAGAAAAAAACTACATAATAGACCTTATTTCCGATATTTAGAGGCTACTTTTATATGAACAAATTTAGGGGATGACATTTCGTTTTTGACAGAAACTCCGTACAACTGATCATAATAAAAAAATCGATCCTCATGTACCGAACTGACGATTTTGGATTGAAATTGCTTATTGATTTCGACCGTTAATCGGCACTTACGATACATATCCACGCCAAGAGTATGGATGGTCCAAATCCTACTCCACCGTCACAACACAGTTTACGACAGACTATTAGAGTTTTATTTACTCATCAATGTTATTTATGTGCATAAGATACACGCTAGAAACAAACTGGTTCCCATTGTCTGTTTAACTTAATCGATTTGTTAGTACTGTGTAATTAAAATATAATTAAAAAACATGTCACGTCATACATTGAGGACCTATAGTTGGGACAAAAATAGTCTAAAATTCCTTCACATTCATAAATTAGTTTGTAAGGTCGTGGTGGCCCGAAGGTTAAGACTCCCGCTTCTCATGTATAAGGATGTGGGTGCGAAACCTACCAATGGCAAGTACCAATGTGACTTTTTCGGAATTATATGTACTTTCTAAGAAAGATTATAGACACCACTGACAAACGATGAAGGAAAAACATCGTGAGGAAACCCGAGCTTATAATTTCTAATTATAAGTTTGAAATCGCCAACCCGCATTAAGCAAGCGTGGTGATTAATGCTCAAACCTTCTCGGTGTGAGAAGAGGCTTTGTTCAGTAGTGGGCAGTGATGTGATGATATGTTTTAAATTGACAATAGATAGTCCAAATTATCTATTTAATTACAAATTATATATTATTATATATATATAAGGGAGTTTACCATAATCACTAATTGCTACGATTGGCAGACGGATTGAAAATCGTCATATATTCGCGCACTTTCACGCTTCAAGGGGTTTTGTTCTGGTTAATCAGAGATCGTTGGCTATGTGGCTTATTATTTAGCATTAATCGGATCTTACACCTCAAGAAGATATATTATACTTGCATGTCATCCATGTTCACACGGCTCGTAAAGGTGATCGAAGAATTTTTACGTTTTGTGACCAGGATCATCAAATCTTCGTAACAACATGGGAAATTTGAGTGAATTTGTCATCGTACGAAGGCCATATCTATGACATATTTGCCATAATATGCTAAATTAATGATAAATTATTGATATGCTGCCTATAAAATAAATAATCGATGACAATGATTATAATAAAGCACGCAAATCAAGAAAAAAACTGGTTTCAAAAACCCAAACCTGTTTTGTGCTGTATTTGCAAAATGACGCAGAACGTTAGGTTTTTACCAATAGATCAGGATTTTGCGTGCAAAGAATATGCAAAACTTCTTCGACATTAAAGTAAATGCTATCGTGAACCAAAACAAGCATAGTTCTTAACTGACATGGTCACTAGGTATAGGAAAGAATTATTAGGGTCCGTATCAAATTGGTATAAAGTATTTTAATCTATCATAGAATATAATAGAATAATTATTTATTTGCTCTAATATTAAAACACTAATAAGTTGTCCTTGTACATTATGTTTATCATGTTTATGATAAACATTTGTTTCTAAAATACCAATAACTTGGAATGAAATACTCCAAAATTATATAATGTAATTTGTCTATGCTTATACTTAGAGGTATAGGCAGGATTTTGGAAATGTTTACTTAATATACCTGTGGTATGTATCACATATCTCTGGTCATTGAGATAGCTGCCTAGGCTTATAACCAAAATATGTTTTCGGGGAAGAACAGAACAAGTAACAAACAAACGATATGTTAGGGCATAGTTTGGATGATTCGTTTACCGACTTAGTACAGAGGTTATGATCGAATTTGCAAAATTAAGCGCATTATTGTGCAAAAATAGTAAAACAGAGAATAAATCAGGACCAACGACCAAAGAGGAATGAGACCTGAGGGTAACCTCGAAAACGACACTACTGGTTGACAGTTCGCTCCAAACGTTGCAAATTAACAAATCCTTCAGTTGGTCCCTTATTAAGAACATCACGGTAAATACCTAGATATTATCGGAGTAGGTCAAGATAGTCTCTAAAAAAAGTTATTTCGTTTTGTCTGTAGGTAGTTGGATACGGTAAAAAGAAGTGAATTTTTTTATGTATACTGGATAGGTCGACGTTTGGCCAACATCTCGCCTGGTGGTAAGCGATGATGTGGCCGATGATGGAGCACGTCTACCTATGAGCAACCTACTCCGTCGGGACTTGAAGACACCCAAGTCATATTTTTCAGGAAACTGATTCCGGCAAGGAGTTCCGTTCCTTAGCGATTCGCATAATGAAGCTTGAATAGAATTTGAGGGGTAAATAAATATTTGGCAAATGTTCGAACATCTATTCACTCTATCCCTGTATCTATTCACCCCTCGAATTTTATCCACCCCGTTTTAAAATACTAAAGTTCGAACTAACTTCAATAAGCTTAAAGTAAGTAATAAGTTGTATATATTTAATTTAGTAATATTTAGTTTTAATTTTATTTATGTAATAGTTGTTATTTAAGTTTTTTATTCACAAAATAAATTCATAGAGGGAGAAAATAAGCTTAATAATCAAAAGATAAGATCAAGTCACGTTTCTCTTAGGCGTAAACATACGCTGCAAACGTGTGATCTAAGCAATAAAAAGAGTAAAAACCCGGTGAGAGAATTGAATTTAGGACTGAGTGCAGTAGCCTAGGTAACATAATAGTATCAGAGGTAGTTTAATTTTTTCGAACTTTATAAAAAATTACTTAGAATTACCGGGGTTTCCCTACACCTATGTAAATTAAAAAAATGTAAATTAATTATTTACTCAACCTTACATTACATAGAAACAATGTTTTACTAGTTCCATTACAATTTCAATGTCACAAAAACTTGTATTTTGTAGGTAAACGAAGTTTTGTTCATCGTGGCTTCATATAATACCAACATTGACACGACGGACTTACAAAAAAACAAAGTTATTATAAGAAGCATGTATACCAACATATACAATAATACAATCAATAATGATGACCTTACATCATTTTAAAGGGTAAACAACGATACTAAAGGAACTTATAAACTAATTATTCCACGATAGATTGACGGAATAGTAAATAATATAGAAGTAAAAACAATAAAACCAAACTTACCAGCGAATAAAACAAAAAATCTCGAAGTCATCGTAATCACAGTTTGAGGAAAACCACAAAATACTAAGTTCAAAGCGTTAATTATACGGACTATACGATCAGACCTTCTGACTATTGTAACTATAACTAAGTTTGTGCACTCGCGTTTATTTTACGTACATTATTATCAGACGCGAGTTCACTAGTCCAGGCGCAAACCGCGACTAAGTACCGTCAATACCCGACACTGTGTGACGAGAAACGTTTCATTATATTCTGACATCAGTACGACCGGTTTATCAACGTACGACGTCGAATAAAGGTCCAGCGGCTCTCGTAATGATGGCTGATGTTTGTTTTAATCCGTCTCCGTATCGTTCAATGTGTCAGGAGCCGGGACATATATTAATCTGACATCCTTTTCTGGACTTTCCAACAGATTATCATATGGCTGTACCTCTATAATCTTTATGCACTTGCTTTAAACAAAGCGGCAATTAAATAAACTAACAGCTATGCTCATTTAACGAATTGAGGTTCTCAGAAATTGTATGTCTCCTAATACATTTCGTCTTTGACTTTAATTCTATTATCTTGTACAGTGATATCTGAAATCAACAAATTATCTACGTCAATAAGCAAATACCAAGTTTTTTCAAAAGGTTCTTTACCACGTTACATCCTTATGACTCATGCAGTTTTTGCACCTATAGCGCCACTAGCAATGTTTGTTCTATCGTCGTTGTATCTCATTCCTGTTAATGAGATAACAATACGAATTTGAAATTTAAGGTGAGGTCGTTAGACCTGAGATTTGCTAACTGATGTGATGGTTGATATGGTTTCCTTGCCACGCATACGATACAAACTTAGGAATATGCAAAGGGTAAATTAGTGAATTTTAAGTCCCAGGAATAAAAAGATGAGCTTCCATAACAAAGACAGGAATTTGGGAAGTTTTTTTTTTTGTTGAAATCAGACGTGATATTGTAGATAGGTACGTAAACTTAAAACACTGTGGCGCGCGCTGTTTGCTGAACTTGGCTGACGCGCGGCCGCGCGTCTCGATATTGTCATCATGGTCTTATTTCTACGTGGTATGGACAGCAAGTCGATGACATCGATGATATTATGACGACATGTCTGCAGACCTACCTACTGACAGCGGTGTAGTAGTAAAACGATGGCAAAAACTTAAAAAATTGTGTTAAATAAAACAATACCTTAAAAGAAATATATAATTTATACAGATTTCATTTATTTATAAACATACCTACATGTATTCTACACTGACAAGCAAAACTTAAGCTTCTCTCTAAAACGGGTTCCTTTGAATTGGGAAAACCCAAACTAATCGTAATTGAATGACATCGGTCGTGACCTGACTGCACATTCAATTAGCTATCGTCCATTTTATGATGCAGTTGTAACACTTCAACTAATAACGGATTCTTCTAATTAAAATTATTTAATTGGTATAATCGTGGGAGAAGTGAGAGAACAAGACCTTTGGTTTGATGAATATCCTCAAAGAAAGGAAAGAAAGATGGTTTGAAGAGAGTAATACAGTATGTTTTATTGCGGTGTCTAAAATTAATATAAATTTAGGAATGGGGGCATCCTCTAATACTTGAAATAGCTAATCCATAATAATTTAGGAAGTACTTTGAAATAAGTTTAATTTAAGCAGCAAAAAGATAAAGAAGTGGGAATTATTGTGACTTATGTGAAGTCAGTCGTCTCTATTAATAACTTCTTAGGAAATAGGGTTTTTCCAAGTCATTGAACTATTAGTAAGTAATAATTATGATTAAAATGAAGACTTCCTTTTTCCCTTATGTTTTAACAGGCCCGCGGCTAGCTATTCGAGCGACCGCAATTTTCCTGCCCACGTTTTTGTTGGGTGGGTAAAAAGTCATGACTCTTGAGAAAGTGACTCTTACAACTCTTACTAATTAAAAATTCGTAGTCTGATGGCATTTTACACGCCGCGCTGTACACTCGGGTATGGTACTTGTGAGCAAGTATCGTAAGTGTACGCCGTACTGGCCAGAGATTCCGACAACGCGACGCGATACTACACCCAAAGCGTCTCCTGCTTCCTCTAGGATAGCCACCCCGTTCCTACTCCTGCACTTCGAGCCGGAGCCCCGGCAACCCGTTAAGTCTTCCGCGGCTCCGTATCGGCATCAGTCCTGTTGGGCCCCATCTGTGGATAGGCTAAAACCTTGGGATTTACCCAAGCTCTGCATTTTGCACGATGCGGGTATCGGACCCACGACACGTTGCACAGCAGACAGAAGGCCGGCGCACGAAGCAGAATACTAGATGGCGCATGACGGTAATCTAGAGGAACATATAACTCCTGCTTTAACTGGACAATCTTTTCTCTATCCTAAGCTTTGTATGAATTACCTATTACCTAAGCTTTGTATGGAAAAATATTTTATCGTAACTAAGTACTTCAACAAAACTACTAATAAGTTTCTAAGAAAAGGATTATGAGCAGATAATTCTTAATAGCCGGTACGTGATCATACAAGCTCAAGGTGTTTAGAAATCTTAACATCGTACCTCTAAGATTTTTCTTAGAACATTTATCTATGGTACCTACATGCTTGCATGGAATTACATAGGTGTATTGTTCTTAGTACAAAGTAGCCTGCTTTACATTGACCTAACCTACTTTCAGTGGAACGTAAGGACTGCAAACCGTTATTTTTTGGTAATATAAAAATAATTCCTCGGTTCGAAATAAATGCATTTTTGAAAGGAGACCAACTCCTTAAGACTTGTTTTTGCAAATACTTTTATAACTGTACAATGTCCTCAATAAATGTAGTTTATATTCCATCGAGATAAAACCGATTCTTTGTTTATTTTTATTTCATTTTATGCCTGTGTGTCTAAAACTAAAAATTTTAACCAGGTTGTCTTGCCAGCCAGGTAGCCTTGAAGAACGTAAAATGTTATCGGGGCTCCGGCGCGAAGAGCAGGAGTAGGAACGGGGTGGTTTTTAGCCAGTTAGAGTCTGACACTCCTACCGCCTCACCCAGGCGGGAGAAGTCATTGGATCATTTTCATAAACAAAAAACCAGGTAGTCTGTTATGTAAATATGGCAAACTAGTTTTTTCTGAACTAAAATTTGTCAGAGTGGTGGTAAGGTACCGTGGCACATCGACGATTATGGAGAGCTACTTATAAATTTAATAGGAATTGGTAATAGCAGATTGTGGATGTGTATGTGGCTGTGGCTGTGTCGAAGCCATATTTCTTTCTACGAGACTCTACTCACAATACACAGTTTCACTACTGCTTCTCCGTTTTAAGAACTGAAAGTGCAATTCTTAGTGCACAAATTCTAAATCAGAAAACATGAAGCTGGGCAAAGAGGCTCTTTGCCAGAATTGGCTACAAAGCAGAAGAAAAAACTGAATAGGTAGGTAAATTATAGGTAGGTTACATATCTACCTTTGTACGATCCACAAATTGATGTACCGAGTCTTTGCAAACGCAACCAGCCAACCACGACTGTGCAGAAAAGCTTATATCGTCCAATGGAGGAGCAGTTGTTTTATAAACAAAGCTTAAGGTCACTGGATAGGTACAAACTACAAAAGCCTTCTGTTTTTTTCCTGTTTTGAATAAACCAAGATACGTTTGGATTTCTCGTTACAATCGTAAAAATTCCAAACATAGACAACATACCTTCGCCGTGTGGTGGAGAGAACCCATTCGTCACCACCAAAAGTCATCTAGTCATAAGGAATAAGGCCTAGCGCTCTCTGATAAGCTGGTAAGCGAGCAGACAAATCACTTAATGGTTAACAATCGGCGCCGCCGCCGCCCATTAACACTCGAAACACCAAAAGCGTTACAAGTGCGTTACCGTCCTTTTAGGGAGGTTAGGATTTCGGGGATTGGAGAGATTAGGGAGGAGGGTAATTGGGCCTCCGGTAACCTAACTCACACGAAGAAACGCAACGCAAGCATTGTTTCACGTCGGTTTTCTCATGATGACATAACATAATTTTTTTGCGTTTCCGCACTAGACAGGAATACAAACAGTCTTAAGTGAGCAACTAAATCACGAATGATAGATATCAGTAAAGTAATCATTATTTGCGCTTTATTATAGATACTAATACCTACAACCTCACTCATCGGAAATTTCAATAGCATTACAATCGTATTTTGTATAGAATTTTTAAAATAAAAAAAATAAAAAATAAAATAAAAAATCTTCTCCAGCCTGGGTGAGGCGAGAGGTAAACTCCTTCACGAAGAGGCATTGGATAATATTCCCCTTAAAAAGGTAGGTAGGGCTTTTAATAGCACCTTAGGGTCAGAACAATTTCTTAACTTTTTTTTTTATCAATCTGCCAAAACAGTGTGAAAACTGTTTTCTTACGAATTAAAACGAAGAATCCCTACAATTCGTACGTTGCATTAACTTTAGGAATTAACTTAGTCATACCGACATTGTTATTCAGTTTTGAACTCAGTAATGGATTTACCGTGAATTCTAAATTAAATGGATTTCCCACAGTCATTTTCTGATTACGCAAATATTGTTCTAAATTATTATTTAATGTGAAGAAATAATTTTTTTTTTTCTTCTTTGACAACCGAGTCTCCAAAACGGTGTTGTCGACTATACTGCCAGTGTCGAGTGGTGAATGAAGAAATAATACAATTATATTTGTCAACCACAATAAAAATGTTATCTATGGAACGTAAAAGTGATTTGGATTGCGCCATTTTTGATCTGTTAATGATTTTTAACACAGTTTGTATTTTTTTCAATCACGATTAAAAAGCTTAAGGGTTCTATTGGATTAAGGATTTATAGAATTTTACATAACTATATGGGTTCACTTAAAAAAAATTAAATTCACAAAGATTCACGACCATTCATATTCGATGGAAGCACCATCTAGGAATTACAATATACGAGAACTTTTGACAGTGTACGTTACGAAGTATTTATAATCCAGGTACCTATATGGAGCCGCAGAAGGCCTTATGGATTGCCTTATCTCCCGGCTCGAAGAGCAAAAGCATGAGTAAGAACGGGGTGATTTTTAGCCAATAAGAGTCTGACACTCTAAGTCTAGCCTAACCCAAGGCGAAGTCATTGGATGACTTTCCCGCAACAAAAAAAAACATTACTGTCTAATAGTTAATTTTATCATTAACCTAAGGTGGGAGAAGTTACTGCATGATTAAAAAAAGAAACATGTATGGATAAGTATATAATGATGATGATTAAAACACAAAAACAAGTTTATAAACACTTTATTTAGCCCATGATCCCGTCAGTCGGCAAAATAACAATAAGAAACATAAAATAAATTTCAAAATTAAATCAAACGTAAGTCAACAGTTATAATACAATAATAAATAAAGACAACAAATTAGGTACAATATATGGCCAATTATTAAAGCACTGTCGAGATTCGTTATCTATATACATAAATACATACATAGTAATTTTTAAATTCATTTAGCACCACGAATCAAGATACTAATGAAATAATAAATACTAAATAAATACGAATTACGGATTTAACATCTAAAAATACTATATCCCCTATAATGACTTTTTAATACAAAAATACTTGGATTTGCTAATTTAAAATCACGCAGCTTAGTACAGAGATAAATTAACTAAGTTTGGAATACATAGAAAACCATTTTATACTTCAAAGTTTTCTAATTTTTAATCTTATGTCATGATAGAATTTTCAATAGCTCGGGTTTTACAAGGATACCATATACACTTATGCATTAAAAATATTATTTTGAGACGAAACAAATGCTGCTGCTTCAAATTAATTCGCGTAGTCCACGTAATATTACCTCAGTGTTGCTATATTATAGACATTTCTAACTTGTTATTTGTCATCAAATCACATATAAACTTCATAAGATTGTAAAGATATCTAATCCAATATAAGCTGTATGCCAACCATCATAAGGTCGGTAATGGTCTGCTTTATGGCGAATTTCCACTTCTCATAGATTTTTAATCGAATTATTTAGACAAATTGTATGGTAATACTATTTTCCCCCAATATAAACTAACTATACGCAGTATTTCATAACTTAAAGCTCTGTGAATTGCTTTCAAACGTTTCAACTGAATTGCAAATTCAATTTGACTTACCTAGTTCATATGGAATACAAGACTAATGGAATATTTTATATACAAATATATTTTGTTAACACTAAAGACTTACAACCTATTCATAAAGAACCGACAAACATATTTTAACTATACAAAATCAATTTGTAAAGAGGACTAACAATTTCCGCAAGCGAGATGGCGTTAGAGTAGCTTTAGACAAACTGTCCAATCACTATAGCTGTCAAAATGTATTGTCTAATGGTGTGACACTAGTTTTTAATTTTTTTTAAATGTTAAGCAACGGCGCTGTTTTAATTATGGTCTAGTCCTCATTACCGTTTGCAATGAGTCCTCATTAATGAAATATATAATGTTCTATAGTTAGAGTAGGTTTATAGCTTATTTATGAATATTATTATGTAACACAGGTTTAAGATTTTGAGGTCGGAACGTAATCTTCTGGTGTGCTTGTGAACAATACGGTGAGGACCCACAAATGTAGACAGATCTGTTGACAATACAAATATATAATGTACGGACATTTCATTTCATTTCAAGATCATGAGACTTGGTTGCACGACGTAGTACGTCTCGCACGTAGTTCCTGAATGAGTCCCGGTATGACTCGAAACTAGTCGAATATTCTCGAAGAATTAGTTTGAGTAAAGCGTATTATTTAAATCTATTATTTACCACATATCTAAGAAAAAGGTTATCAAAATCAGAATTATACACTTACCATATACCCAATAACGAACGCCCTAAGCACTGGGTATCGTTTGACCATGATTCCGATCCGCAGTGAGAGCGCAGACAATGTAGAGTGAACCTGTCTCGACCGACGTCCGTCACCGTCTTGTAAGTGAACCACACTGTGAGAGTTCAACCTTTGCAGCGATTGGTCCGTTTTTAGTTTTGACTGTGAAAAACAGGAAATATTTTCTTTAATAATTAAGTACAAACGATTTTAAATGCTATAATTTTAAAGTAATAAAGTTGTAAATGTATTTTTTTTATTTGAGCCACAAATTGCTGTTCCAGGTCTGGGTGTTATGTTTTATTTGTAAACACACCCGACACCACAGAAAATCAGAGAATGGGGTTTTAAAGAAAAAGAAAGTAGGAACGTCATATCCTCAATATGAGGCCATGATCCGAATTTGAATTTCATGCTCAATACTGGTGCTTTTGCTAAGCTAAGACCAACAAAAGAAAAATATACTCACTTCCAATTTCTCCAGCTGTATCCTAAGCATATTATTTTCGGCCAATAAATTATCGATCTTCGTTTGTCTCTGGACGAGGGTTTGAGTGAGGTAGTCAATCTTGTTGTTTTCAATGGTGTCCTGCATGACGTCATAGTCTGCGACGTTGAGTGCACTCGTGTCTGTGCTACGGACGGTGGAGGTCGTGTCGCGGAGATGGATTAGTTCGTGCTCTTTATCCCGCAAGGCTGTTCGTAAACTGGCTATTGTCTGACCTGTCTCCAGTTGCATGGCTTTCATTTCCTATAAGAAAAAAGAATACTAAAATTAATAATTGTTTATCGTTATCTGTACAGTCTGTCTTAGCATGACATTTGTTCAACTAGCCTGTCTCCAAATCTAACACAGTCTATCAGTAACATAAATGAAGTAGGTTTACATTTCTTTGACGAAGAATAGTTATTTACAATGTCACTATCGTTATTTACACTGTACAATGACCTAGTATTACTACCCTGCCCCTTAATTCAAAGTCTCAATAACTTGCATTTGACAGAAATAATACAAATAATAACAGTATAGCTCACCTTAGCAACCGCAACACACTGTGTCTCAGCCCTACTCCTGGCCGAGCGTTCCTCCCGCAGCGCGTCTCTCAGCGCGGCGACCACGCGCTCAGCGGCCGCGTGTCTTACTTCCACCTGTTGTAAATACTGCTTCATATCTGTACACTCCGCGCGAATGCCTGACACCGCGTCGTGGAGCTCGTCGCGTTCTTCTCTGTAAATGATTATCAAAAACATAACTATCGAGAAAAATACTCAATTACATGTAATAATGATCGACTGTATAGCTAAGGACTCCGGTCGAGATCGAAAGTAGTTGGACACACAATGATTATCAGCATGTAAAAGTGATTATGTCACAGAAAGTATAAAAGTGGCAGAAAAATTCGTACTTAGAAGAGTTAAGGAAAAAATATTTAAATCAAAAACAAAATCTACTTACTTTAAATGCTCCATCTGAGCTATCAACGACTTAGTATCCTCACTAAAATTCAAACCTTCGTGTAATTTCTTTATCTCCGCATCCTTAGCTTGCAGCATATTCTTCACTCTCACTTTATAAGACTCCCAGTCTTTCTCCAATCTCCTACATTCTTCCGTAGTCTTCTGCAAATTACCCTGTAGTTCACTTATAGTAGATTGTGCGTGTCTCAAATCATTTTCAAGCTTGGTTTGCACTGCATCCCTATCTTTTGCGGCTTCTGATAATATTTTACATCTGAAAATTATATTCGTAAATAATAATTTCGAAATGGAAAACTTAGTATAATATTCAACCAAGAACGCCAGTCTAAAAGCATTTATTCAGCAGTAACATTTGTGTTGGCGATAGGCTCAATCCCTAATACATGGCACTCATGACATAAAAAGTGAAAAGTGGGTGTTACATTGTACAGTGGCATAATGTGCACCCCTGCCTTACGCTTCGGAGATAAAAGGCGTGATGTTACGTATTTATGTAACATTTGTGTCCACTGCACCAATGAGATAGTTCATTGATATCATAATCAATCAAATTAGAGATTGAATGGAATTTAAGAATAGATGTCTACTGTATTATTATGTAATAATAAGATCTTCATAATCATAGCAGTACATAATTTTGACTTTAACCTCTTGTCTGCCGGTAGATATATGAGCAATATTAGGAAACCCATTGTCTCGCATAGACCTATGTTCCACAAACAAAAGATTAAACATAACATTATTATAATGAACTTGTTTTACTCTGAATTCGAGCCAGTTACTCCTAGCTCGTACTAGTGGCATTATAGCATATTGTCTAAACAAAACCAACAATGAAAAAACTTACTTTTCCTCCAACTCTATATTTCGGCTCCTCAATACAGTAACGTCAGTTTCTAATCTTTGGTTCAATTCTTTAAACTTTGATACTTCTGCATTAGTATGCTCCTGAATTTTGACTGACAGCAGTTCCACTTGTGACGACAATGTTTGTTTCTCCAAATTTAAACGGTGATTTAATACATCTGTTGTTTCTTGCTTTATGCGAGTTTTCGTTACTTCTGGAATAAAAAAAAAAATATTTTTTAGTTAAATTTCCCAGCATCATGAGAAAAGGATGTCTGATAGCTACTAAGCAAGAAATAAAGGTCAAGCTTCTAGACACAAAGTACAACCGAAAATTATCCATAAAAAAATTCAGTAGTAAAATCATACTTTAAATTGAAGCTAAACAAAAATACAATAAACAATATACATAATCCTCCGTACGAGGTAAGATCATAGTAAAATTTACATAAATAAATTCCAAACCTTTTAAGCACACCAAGAACCACAGTCCATGCAAGGCAAAACTAATCTAAAAACAAAAGTACCTGCACTATGCACATCATTACCATCCTCTGTCTTCCGTAACCTGTCCAATAGTTCAGCGACCTCTCGGTTCATTACATTCAGTTCGTTCTTTAGCATTGCATTCTCTACCTCCATGTTTTGCATCTTGTATGTCCATTCTTCACCGTTTAGCAGTTCTAAGTCTGATGGTAGACTGAACCCTGAAAAGTTGTAAAAAAATTATATACACTGGTAACATGTAGATGTTACATTCAGTGCAAGGTACTCTCAGTTGTAACTCCTATGTTGTTGTGGGCGGGTGGCCAATGACGGCACTGATTGGTTACCATGAGGTGATCTGACAGCTCATTTGCCAATGAATATAATAAAAAGGCAAAGACACTTCAGGAATATACTTTTGAAGTTGTAATAACAATATTATGACATCTTACTGTGATGCTTACTATGCTACTATATTTTATATGATATTTTACAAACTAACATTGATCAAAAACCTAAAAAGCCAAATGATAAAAAAATTGCTATCCCAAAAAATAATCTCTATATTCATACAAGTACATACTTGCATAACTAATTTATTCAGTTTAACCACTTTCTTTAGGTCTTCCACATTCATTATAAATTATAACATTTCCCACAAACATGCTTTTCATTGGTGAAAGTTGTGGAATCAGTATGTAGATTTCTTATTGACTGAATAATTTATAAACAATCTTTCTTTAAAGAAATTTCAAATTACCATTGTTGAAATCCTTTCTACATCTACAGACCGCTCCTGCATGCATGTGCAGAGTTTATTTTAAGGAATGTATTAAATGTAAACATAGAATGTATACTTACTCCTATGCTTCAAACCATAATTTTCATACAAGTCATTGTCTTTCACATCTCCAACTAATGTTCTAGGGCACTGCTGTTCCAGATTGAACTGACGGTGAGGACTGGGCTTCCTTGAAGGTGATATCTTGGACTTGATAGAACCATTCTTTGAAGAATCTGCATTGTCCTTGATTGTTGTGCGAGGCTGATGATGTGACGTTGGTGAAGACTTGCGACTGGCTGGTATCGGTGTAGCTTTTTTATTGCGAGTCATTATTCGTTTCTTTGGCGCCCAAACAGTCTCGGTGGTATGACCGACAACAAATTCTGGCACATTGCTTTTCCTCGAAACGTTATGATGGCGCAAAGCCGCGCCAGTCTGTTCATCCAGGTTGTTAAGGAGGCTCTCCGCCTTCCCGGCAAGGTCCGCGAACCATGACATTTATACAAATTATTTATTGCCTGAAACCAACGTTATCATCATATCATATCACGACCCATAAAACGATATGCCTGCTACATTCGTAGTACCATGAAATCACGAAGAACAATACATACCGGGCATCAGGAAAACGGGAGGCCGAGATGAAATGGGTTCTCCAATCTATTTTTTGTAATCAAAACATCTCCGTGACAGCTGACACGTAAACATCCATCACTCAAGAAGTTTAAATCAAAACTTCTTGAATCAATTTGTGAATGAGAATGAAATGTCAAAATTGTCAAATAATCGAAGCGGAAATCTGTAGCGTCGAAAGTTGGGAATCGATAACTTTTACAAATCTTTCAATTTTAAAATATTTAAAGTATTCAATTGCTTTAGGGGGTACACAAACGAAAAACTCTTCAATTTTGATAGGGATGTGGAGATAGAAGTAGGAACTTGTCGTAAGAACTTGTTGCTACAATGCAGATCTATGGCAGAGGTTGTCGACTTGTCGTTGTTGTCAACGTCAAACGATATTTGTTATCTGTGAGTAATACATGACATAAAATGGTTTCATGTTTTGCCGAAAGAAAACAGTATTTTACTTGATTGAAATAACTAATTAATAGGCGCAGTTTGCGATCATAATCATGGATTTTGAAAGTCCGGACGTTGAAAAGGATTTTCCTGGCTTATATGCATCTGAGAGTGGCAGGAAAAGCAATGAAAGTGACTGTAAGTACCATTATTGGAATATTTACTAAGTTATTTACGCTATTGATTATATTCATAGCAGAAATATTTCACAGGAAAAGTTTTTTTCCTTATGTTGTCTACGCTTGCCTCCTCGCATGTGCTGCTAGGGAAAGCAGAGATGATGGAACCTCAAAACCTAATGGATTGATTCTAGCATAATTCTTTACTTTCAATCTTTGAACTACATTCATCAATCAGACTTTTCAATAATAACCCAACTCAGAACTCTAAAGTATATAAGATATATTAATTTAACTATAGCAACCTGAAAATAAACTTGGAACAGTTATTATCTGTGGATCAAGTTGTTTCATGCAGGAATACCGGGCAGCAACCATCTGTACAGTCATAATTATGTACAATAACAAACAGAATAATAACAACACAATGCTTATTCACACAAGTGGAACCTGGAAATGACTTATTAGTGTATCAAACAAATGTTTCATTAAACTGAAATTGAAAAGAATAAACTATATTATGGTACTTGCTGGAGAAAAGGATTGTAGGATTCGGGGTTTGTAAACCCCAAATTTGGTGAGCCTATAACTAAATTCCATACAAAATTTAATTTCTTTATCTTTTCTCTTAGTCAGTGATGGTGCTGACCATGAAAAACCAAGTAAGAAAGACTTATTGGGTAGACGAAAAGAAAAGAAAGAGAAGAAAGATAGAGGCTATGCTGCACTAGAGGGAGAAAGCTCACCAGAAGAGGATACTGATACAAAGTCAGTATAATTCATTAATTTAAACTGTCAAACACCAAGCGGTCACCGGTGACCGCAACCTATTGTTCTATAATTGTGTCTACAAAACTGGTACTCGACGAGTTAAACTGTCAAACACCAAGCGGTCACCGGTGACCGCAACCTATTGTTCTATAATTGTGTCTAAAATGACGGTACTCGACGAGTTAATGATTCACTTATTTCTTAATTATTTGCTAGAAAAATACTAAAATTAAGTTGGTCATAAAATAAATTAATGAAAGTGTGATTATGTTTTAATATGTATTTTATTGTATTGAACAGTTGAAGTCATTTATTTTTAATTAAGAAATATACCTACCCAATTTCAAATATCACCTCATTTCTATTAAAACACAGAATATCACACATTAAAACCTGTTAAAGTACTTATTTATCAATTATGTTATGAATCTCATGTAACAAAGAACATGAGACATATAACAGATAATTTTCCATAATTAAAATGAAAGCTTTTGCCAGAAGTCCTTCGAAATCCAAGAAGACAAAATCATTTAAATTCCCGACAAAGAGTAAGGAGAAACGCGAGAAATCGCGTGACAAAGAAAAAGTATTAGAGGATGCAGCGAAGCAAAGAGAAAGGGAAGAGAAAGAAAAGAAGAAAGAGAAGGAACGAGAGAAAGAAAGGGAAAGGGAGAAAAAGGAGAAAGAAAAACGTGAGAAGTTGAGAGAGAAAGATAAGGTCAGTATTTACTTAACACTGCTTATTCCATGTAAATAAATAATCAATATTTTTTAAGGTTTTTCTATTAAGAGTCGCTTTTATAAGTGAATATGAGAATTTCTTATGTATACGTAAATGATGTGTTTTGTTTCTTGAAAAATCTAATTTCCTTTGTTGAGCATATTAATTTTTATGATAGAAATAACGAATTATTATTATTATTTCTTCTATTAAATAATGCAAAGTTACAGTATGTAACTTTTTACATAGTTACAATAATATGTGAAAGCGTGTACCTTCATACTAAAAAGCAGTTGTTGTGTATACCTACTTATGTATAGAATTGTAGTTAACTGTATGATTATGGTGTTTTATATGTCTGCATATACCTATGTTTGTGTTTATTACCTCACATTATGATACATTCACCATGATACAAAGGAGATGACGAACATTCAAATACCCATACTCATATTTTAGCCCATTTCTTTCATATATCCTTGTGATAACATTCTAATTATGATTACTATTCTAACACCCACATTTTTATATGGGAACTACGTCTATAATGTAGGTAACAGAAATCCGAATAAAACATACATTTTTAAAGCCTAAATCTGAATTTTAAAATATTCAGGCTATCTTTGAGTACCAATTAATAAACATACTCAAAACTATTGGCTTTCAAACCTTTATTCTATACCATAAGTGACATTGACTCACTTTTTGTACTTTACAACAAGTAATCTAATTAGATCTTATGATTAGCCCTCACAGTTGTCGTGTACTTACTAAATTAGGCTTCGTAGTCTAAACAGGTAATATTAGGGACAAGTTATTAGAAACATTTGCAAAAAATAATTTTAATCTGTAGATCGATTGTCTTTGTAAGATGCTATAGCCATCAGTAAAAACAATTCGAGGACGAAATAGCAATTTCCTTATTTTATTTCATGAATAAACAAGATAAAAATATGTAGGTATGTTACATATAAATTTTATTCACAAAATCGTGAATTGAATGAATTATAACAAAGTTCTCGTACTTAGAAAATCGCCAGGACAAATGTTGGAGATATTATCCGATCCGACCTTGTATTATGTTTCATGAAACTATTCTCTACTGCTCAAACATAAAGTTGAAAATTTATTGGCAAGGGTCGTGACACATCCATTGTCGTACAGCCTTGCAATCGTCGCATTTATTCATTATTTCATTAGATTTGTCTTCGACTAATCCTACAGTGACTTTGCTATGGTAAAAATAACTTTGATTTTCGTATTTGGTACTAATTCTAATTCAAGTATTATTTACTATGTCGGGTTTAATTTTCGCGGTTCAGTGGTTGATACGTTTTGCATAAATTGCACTATTCAGTAGGTAGTGACCTTGGACAAGCGTTCGGAACGGTCATGGTTTGCTCAGTTGGGTCTCGAATACGCGTCATGCATCACCTACGCAATGTTTTCTCAAAGGTGCGCGGATTTTACGTGTTCATTTGTTGTTTATTTTTTTTCTTATCAAAGAGTTTCCAATCAATTGACCAGTTTGCGCGTTTTATTCTGTTGTTAGTGCTTGTGTCCTTAAGTTAAATTGAATAGAAACGCGTTAATTTTATTAAAAGTTTTAATATGCAAAGTAATTTATGTTTATCGGTTTTTAATATTGTTCTTCATTCTTATGTATTGAATATATAGAGAATAATGTGTGATTAATAGTTTTATGATCACTTTGATAAGATATCACAGACTAAACTATAAATCCCATATTTTTAACATCTAACAATGTCTTGTTTTCAAAACAGGAAAAAGAAGAAAAAGCAAAATTCAAGCTAGAATCTAAAGAAAAACTGAAAGATGAGAAAAAAGATAAGACGAAAGATAAGGACAAGGAGAAGGTGAAGGAAAAAGAAAAGGAGAAAGTGAAAGAAAAAGATAAGGATAAAAAAGATAAAAAGCTGACGAAAGTCCCATCGACATTCACATGTGGAGTACCCTTCGAAGAAATATTTACCTTAGGAGGTAAGCAATGTTTATTTAGGTATTTTATATTTTTGAATGTTTTTGGTGGGAGAGCCATCCATTGACACGAATGGACCTGTTTCACTGGGGTGATACCACGGCCTTACAGAAAATCGACGTGATACAACGCTTGCATTGTATTTCATCGTGCGAGAGAGGTTACCGGAGGCCCAATTGCCCCCTCCCCAATCGCCACAATCTCCTCAATCCCTGAATCCCCTAAAACCCTTCAATTCCTAATCCTCAAATGCCGGTAAAACACTTGTAACGCTTTTGATGTTCTGAGTGTCTATGGGCGGCGCCGATTGCTTACCATCAGGTGATTCGTCGGCTAGCTTACCGGCTTATCCTATAAAACGAAGTTAACTTATTTTGTTGTCGCGTATTTATTGAATATCGAGTTTATAGATTATAGTTCAAGCACTCGTATGCCCGACATCCAAGCTCAAGAAATGAAATGATATTTATTTCTGCAAATAGGTTACAAAGTAACACTTTCAACACGTCAATCATTAAATTACTAGATGAGGGCCAGCAATTCCTAACTGACTACTTTGAGAAGAAACGAGATCTCGTCAATCCCATAAAACTTTGATTTGGAGCATGTAAACAATTTGCATCGTGATTTATTTTTCATATTATTGTCATTAAGCTTGTTGGTTCGAGGAAAATCTAGCATTATCTTAGGTTTTATGATTGGAGTAACAAGTGCCAATTGACATAGATTGAGTGCAGAAAGAAGTAGATATCTTGCGGTTTATGTGACAATGAAGTATTGATGTCATAGTCCCTACCTATCAGAAGCAGTTTTCAATAGTTTTATTTTAGTACAATTTTGTACAGATTTTTGTCAATAATAACAGCAACAACAACTATACCTTCCATCCATAAGAGGATCCATTCCATCTTCTATAAGTTTCGTACAAACGCGTGCCTGTTTATTCTATGATAAATTCAAACTGTTCAAAACACGTCTGAAGATTGCACTACTGTACGTGTCTAATTTTTAGTTACTAATGGTACTCATCAAAGAGTGACTGCGAAAATCATTAGATACTGCTATAACCATATGGCCATATGCGCCGACTGCAAGTGGCTCATGGTCTAACTTCTTGGACAAAAAAGTTATTTTAAATACAACATTTTTGACTTCATTTCTCCGAGACATCTCTAAATTAAAGAAATTAATAGTATTTTCAAGTTATTGGGATGGTTGTTCGAATATTAGTTAGATGGTTCGTTTTATTAGGTAAAACTAAAGTAATATAACTAAAATTTAATATTTTGAGACTTTTTGCCCAACATACCCTAATGACACCTGAACTGCGTCGTTCAAATTCATTGTAAATCAATCAATGCTAAAAAAATGTGTCCGTCTTATTGTACGTTACGAACAACAGATTGCAATGACGTGCTTACCTGGTAAACACTGTTTTTATTTGGTTTGTAGGTTAACGATCTCCTGTCGTTTCGTCTCTTTATTTATTTGTTTAGGGTCTTCAACAAAATAGACAATTAGATATACCTCTAGATTGTTTTATTTTGTGAGTTGTCGCCAGAGTAACTGCCAAGGTCGCAGATTTCGTCAAAGTATTAATGAGACTTTTTAAAATATTTCGTTATAAAATGGATGTGTTTAGTAGAAAAAAATTTAAAAATATTTCAATTACATACACTTTTTTTAAATAAAATTTATCTGTCCAAAAATTGATTTCCATACAGTCAATATTATCTGTGGAAAACCATAATCGGAAAAATTATCTGCGATGCCAAAATAGAGCATTCTTTTCAAGGTAAATTGATAACAACGCGTGTAAACATGAATTCTTTAGGACAATCGTCGTATTTTGTCAGTAGTTAGTTACAAATTCACGATTTTACGAATAGGTCGTGTTTGTTTTTCGTGATTTTTTCATAAATATGAACCCTTTTACCCATGGCTTCACTATAGGTGGTGAGTTTGTTCGATTATCGACCTTATTTAATCATTTGTAAGCAATAATATTCTGTGGTTTTATGTAATCGAATTCTGTTTCAAGTACAATCCAGAACTGGTTAATGATACGACAATTAAACTGTAAAGAGATCATAAAAGGACCGTAAAATCACAATGGCAGTATAGTTCCGAGTTCGCTTGTACGATCCATGTGAGCGAACATATTCTGATCATATGTGACATGAATGTGTTCTGATGAATTTTTAATGTGATTTATTACTTGTGCACGTGAGTGTACCTAACATCGTTTACAGAGTCAACATTTTTATTGGGTTTTTGATGAGAAATAGGTTTATGTGTGTTATATTTTATGCATTAACGTGTTTTAAAAATGATGTTAATGTATCAAGATTATCTAGGTTACTGTTTTTAAATCAGACTTGACACGAGACGGTAAGGACGATATAAATACTTAAATCCATGCTGTTGCCACCAAAAGTCGGAGACATTAATTGGATAACAGATTACACTGCCAATTTTATACTGAGACATGTCGAAATACGGTCACAACTACTGTTGCAACATATGATTAGAGAATTTGGAGGGTCTTCCAAAATATACTTCTTTATGGATTTAAATACCTACCGCGAACTATTGAAGAAAAAATTAAGAAATGAAAGATTTGCATCTCTAGTATGGTCGATGCTAGTACCTTACCTCAAAATAAAATTCATGTAGTGTAATAAAATTATTCTTGGAATGCACGACATTTTAAAGGTTCTAGTATGGATAAACATGGAACTTCTTAACAATTACTTGAAAGCAAGTTTAGTCCACTTACCAATAAAAGTAAAGTTATAACGAGATCGATCGATTTGCTACCAACCTGTCAGGAAATAACTCTGTCTTATTTTATTTACCTATGTAATGTATATGTAGACTAGAAGTTATATCATAACACCCAACTTCCAGAAGGCAACTAAAAGAATACACCGTAGATGATTGCGTACTGCACTGATATTTTCCTGTAATAAAGCTGTAGCTATTTTTTAATGAGTCTTCTTGCTTTAGGTCTGTACCTACCGAATACAAGATTATATTGAAGAACATCATAATAATCTTACAAAATGTTAGTACTATTTTTTACGTATTTGGCGACCAAATCACAGATTGTCTCTCAAAGTAACTTGATTGTCGGTAGCTGCCAAAAATATGAGAACTGAAGCAGATTATGTTACGCCAATTTTTTTCATGGTTTGATTGTTTCTTGTTCCAGTGGCTCTCCCGATATTTGGCGTACCGTTAGCGCAGTCAGTGGAGCGTTCGAGATGTCACGACGACACCGGCCTGCCTCTCGTTGTACGAGACAGCATCGATTACCTACAGGTACTATTTAGACAAATATTTTAGCCTTGAACTTTTTAATAAATAATTTGGTCGTCATTTTTGTTCATACCTGCCTACAATGCATGCCCTTCTGGGTACTTAACTGGGTAAAAGGTTCATTTTGGTGTTATTTCGTCCCGAGCGTATTATGTATTTACAAAAATACCTGAAGTTTAGTGTTATCAGGTACTCCGTAGCCTGCTTTTGGCACTAGTATCGTTGTAATAAACCTTCAGATTCTATCTCCATCAGAGTTAAAAAAATATATTAAAATCGGTTCATCGATTTAGGCATTAGGTACTAAATCACAAACTCGTTTCCGCATTAATGATATTAATTCACTTACTATATTCTCCCATACAAAACCCAAATACATAGTTGACCTACATACATAAACAACAAACAATAGGTACCTGCGTACCTAGTTTCAGTCTCAATGCTGCGTCCCCCACAATCAATTATCGTAATAGCTCTTAGAACAGCCGGCATTTATCAAGACGACGATGATCTATTAGTTTCTTTTGTACGAAGATAGCTATAACTTCTTAAAACTTCTCTAGTGGAGGTTGTATTTCAAGGTGATCCTAATTTAGAAGGTCGATGGAAAATATATTAGGAACATTATGTGTAAATACTTCTTCTGTAAGTATGGGGTTTCGGATTTGTAAATATAAGGTATCCAGTTCCATGTAGATATTTTATTTATTTGTGTTTGAGTGGTACTTACAACTTTAGATTTTTACAAACTATGGCAATTTAGTTTCGCCTCTAGATTAACGAAACATAGTAGCTGTACCTATCATAGTTTTGTGTTTTTTTCACTACAAATTGCGTGCACCACTGGCACGGTGGCAAAGCAACCAGCTGCAACGTGTAGCGGGTTCAATTCCTGCGCGAAATAACTGTGTGATCCACAAATTGTTGTTTCGGAATTTGGTGTCATGTGCATGTTTGTAAACGCACCCACGACACAGGAAATCCTAAAGTAAGGAACCATTTTTTTTTAAATTAATAAAAACATTTCAGAATAGTTTGGTCAGTTGACAAGTGTTTGTTTATTCCATAGGTTACTTACATGCATATAAAAATATTTTACCATCAATTACAGTTGCAACATTTCCTTTACAATTGTCTTCGATGATATTTCGCAAAACGGACGTAGGTACATTCAGCCGTTTGTTAGTAGGATTCACGGTAGGCGAGTCGATTATACTAATGCATTGTTTACCATGCAGGTTTAATAACTTTACCTAATAATTCTCTTATCAAAATTCACAGTATAATAGTCTATGCATCCGTTTTTAAACGTATGTTTAGATATTTATACTACTAATATTATAAATACGAAACTTTGTGAATTTGTCTGTGTACTTATTTCTGAATCACGTCAAAACGGCTGAAGGAACAGGGGTAGACTATGGCCTGGAAAAACACAGGCTACTTTTTATAAAACGAGAACGCGGACGAAGCCGCTGGCTGAAGCTAGTTTATCGTAAAATCAAATATAATTGTGTATGTACAAACGTTTATAAGCTTCCTTTACTTTAATCCAGGAATAACTAATAAAAAGAGAGTGAGAGAGAGAGAGTGTAATGTTGTCAACAAATCGTAATGAAGATATAAACACACACCTACGTGTTATAATGGTATGTTCGGCATTTCCACTGATATCCGGTGCAAGTGGCACTAAGCGGATATTTAGAGTTTTTATACTGACAAGTCAATAAAAAACTCGCAATTTTCTCTCATTGGTTAATTATGGTATCAAGACTTGTCTTCAAAATCGATAAAAACGAAAGAAGATGTTCTCAATTCATCGGATTTATTTAGAGAAGGCTACAACCCGGAAAAATTGTAGATAATAATTTTACACGTTACATCATTATTTTTTGCATTCCCGCTATGGCTTGCCTTCTAATCTTTTGTTTGGTATCCATCTTTATTTCATACTAGCTGTGCCCGCAACTTCTTTCGCGTGGCGTAGTGATGTACTGCACTTACCCCGTAGGTGATAGCGTGATAATATGTAGCCTATATGTTGACCCGACCTGATAGCAGTACTTTCTGAGATCATCCCAGACATACATACAAACAAACATATAAAAAATTTTAAAACCATATTTTGGCTTCAGTATCGATTGTAGATCACGCGATTCTACGATTTTATTATATGTATACCTAGATCATGTTACTGTAAAAAAAAACAATAACATTTTTCTTTCTACATTTTCAGGCGCACGGTTTGAAATCCAACCAGATTTACCGTACGGAACCTGATAAGATCAAAATGCAGCAGCTGAAGAAACTCTTCACGGACAGAGGACCTACATTCCCTTACCATTGGGATGTTCCCGTGGCTTGTGCTATGCTTAAAACTTTTATTAGGTAAGATAAGAACTATTTACACTACAGACCTTTCTGTGAAATTCCTTTATTCAATTTTAAACTTTATAGTTAAAAGTCGAGAAATAAATGAGTTATATATAGTTGGTAAATTGGTGTAGTTATCCTGTTGGCGTTTGTAATTATGCCTTGGGTTTGAGTTATAGGGGTTATCGTATCTTCTATTCATTATAAATTGAAGATGATGCAGTTGGTAGACCGAATCACTCGCCACGAACCGCTACTTTATCTATGAATCAATTTAGTTAGAAATCGCCTAATCCAAATGCTCCTGATTTATCGGGTCCTGATTTATCCGACCAGGACGAAATACCATACCAAATAGCGAAATTGAACATAACGGTTAATAAATAAGATGCTATAAGTACTCCTATACTTGTCTCATATTACATCATACTTTTCTATGTTTTCAGTGAACTCCCGGACTCTATACTAACACAAGAGCTACACGGACAGTTCGAGCAAGCGACGGCTATAGCCGAGCCACAGCGCGAGGCTACAATGTTGGCACTCATAGCCAAACTACCTCCACACAACTATAGCCTGCTGGGCTGGATCATCAGGCACTTCGAATGTGTTGTGGCTAATGAACAGGTACATATTTTTATTTTGTCAATGTAAAAACTTAAAAAAAACGGTCTTTTTAAAACAATGTGTTAGTCAAGTTCACAAAAAAAATAGACTGACATGATGCAGAGCCGTGGAATATCAAACAAATTATTTGAGTTGAGGTCTTTCAATAATGTAGAATCGATGTGACGTGAAATCGTTAGCGGGTTAGAGACTTTTTTTTAATAGGGGATTATCATCGAATTACTGCTCCCGTATGGGTGAAGCGGGAGGGAGTGTCAGACTCTTACTGACTAAAAACCACCCCGTTCCTTCTCCTGCACGTCGAGCCGGAGCCCCGGTAACCCGTTAGGTTCTCCGCGACAATTAGAGACTTAGAGTTCGCATTTCCAAAGATTCAGATTAATCCAGAGGGCGCTACTGAGATCTCTGTCAGCTGACAGATATAGGGCAGCAGGCGCTAAGGAGTTCGTTAGCAACACTGCTTATATCTGCGACATTCTACTCTGGCGTCATTACATGGCTCATAATAAAACTATTATACGGTCTTTGCGTATCCTAAGGTCTAATTGAATATTCTTGTCGTATTTCCAGGCGAATCACGCAAACATTCAAACTATAATGACTGCAATGGGACCAGCGCTCAACATGTCGTTGAACCTCCTCACCTACTTGGTCTCCAAGGCTGAGAAGCTGTTCCCAGACGTCCAGCTTACGAAGTGAGTGTATAAATAATACTACTAATGTAATGTGCATATTTGTGACATTTTCTGAATTAAATAATTCATTGGAGGGTGAGTAAAGTCTGTACACTCGGCACTAAGTCTTAACCAGATTAGGCAGGATATTAATATTTTTTAAAGGTATTGTATTTTACATAAATCAGCTACCATCCTCCACTACCAGCTAATAATAATTCTACGATAGCTGTAACTGCTTCTGCCTAATTTGCGTAGAATAAATGTATTTTGCTCGGCCGTCACGCAGAGTAGATACCTGTATAGTAACTGAATGAATATATGACATCTCACCATCATCCTTTCTCTATAATATATACAGCTTGGCAAAAAAGGTTTGGAATAATTGAGGTCGCTAGTATCGTACCTGTGGCAACCTGGTATACTACACTACAACTCAATCGATTTTTGGTATTATAACTTTCGTGAGGCATTCTAAATAAATTATTATGTTTTCGGCTTACTCACGTAATTATTTGACGAGGAACTCGACTAGTTTCAAGCCATGCTAGAGGCTCATATTCATGAACAGCATTTCGCGACCCTTGAGGATATAGTCCGAAGTGGGTGATTCCGTCTAAGTCAATTAGTTCCAGTACCACCGCGTCGAACTCTTTTATGCGAAGCTATACTTAAAAGCACACATTATTTATCTTTCAGATATGTACCACCTTTAGCCTCCATACCACCTGACTTCCCAGAGACAGCTCCTGAATTAAGCATGGAGCTTCGTAAGCAGGAGTCTCTATTGAATCAGATACACGCAGAAATGCACGCCGGGTTTATCACGCCCGCCCGGGATCAGCAACTGTGGGAGGCGCAGAGGATTGTCACACAGCTGAAGGTAATAATAAATTGTTATGTTTTAATTACGACCTGTTTCATAATTTCTGGATAGCTACCATGAAATATTTTTTTAATATGGGAAGTAATTTGTACAATACCAGCCGTCAAACTTATAAAGAACTTAGAGCGTGGTGATAATTGTCACGTGTCGACGTGACCAATGATATTTGTTAAAGCGACATTTTTATGGGGTTAGCCAATAAACGAGCTGACGGATCACCTGATGGTAAGCAATCGACGCCGCCCATGGACACCCGGAACCCCAGAGGCGTTAGAAGTGCGTTACCGGACGGAATTTGGAATTTAAGGAATATGGGGGATTCGGGGATTGAGGAGACTCTGGTTACCTCACTCATACAACGCAAGCGTTGTTTGTCGTTGATGTTCTGTGAGGCCGTGGTATCGCACCGGCCGAGCCGGCCCATTCGTGCCGAAGCATGGCTCTCCCACACTTATTTGCGCTGTATCGTTACCGAATGCGAGTATGAACATGTGCGGCGCCCCTTATTGAGTAGTCTTAATACACTATATTAGACTATATTAGACACCCAGACTGTATCCACCTGGGAAACAATGGCAAGGGATCCCATTCTTTAACAGTTTACGCGAGGTTCCCTTTCTCCTCTAGCTTTTAAATTTTATGAAAAAACAAGTTATCCAAGTATAACATTAAAATTGTCCTTTTTATTTCTGTCATTGGGTAAAAACAGCTGAAATTTATGTAGATAATAAAATGTTATTACATCTGCACGTACTAAGAGTTATCTATAAAATCGATCGATGACTAAAGTAATTGATTGTTGGTATTGTAGTTAGTCATAATTATATTTTGGTTATATAATAGAAGATCAGCTATATCAAATATATGTGAATGTAAGTCAAAACTATAAATTATTTGACACTTCAATTAGATATCATAAAAATGTCGTTTCCCAACCACAACTTCAACCACAGCTACGTCTTAAATGATGACTAAATCAATAATATAATAAATACTTCACTAAAATTGAAATATTCTCACAAAGTAATACCGATATCAATGAAGAATCATCAAATAAAATTGACGTAATGGATACTAATTGATTAGGTAACTAAAAACTAGACAAACTCGTTTCTAATCGAAAGTAACTTTTAACTAGCGAATCATAATTCATTTGTGACGCTTCAATGAAGACCAGATTCAGTGGTTTTTAAGGATTCTTTTTATTCTTGTAATAGTAGGTATTTTTTCTTGAACTTAGTGACTCGCAACAAAACAATATATAATTGGTAGTTCCAGGAAATATAGAACTATGAAGACTTGCTCCTTATGTATTCATTTTCCTGTTCTTACCCCCATTAATTGTTTTTAATATACTATATCTTTTACAGAGAAAGCTCCGCTCAGTACAGAAATCGGTAGAACCGCAAAACTCATTACAACCACAACATGCATCATTAGATGAGAGGCACGAACATAAATCGGAGGAGGAACCAGTGAGGCGGAACTCTCAACCCTCACAACCATCAGCACCCCCACAACTGCAACTAGAGGCACAACTCACTCCTCAAGAACCTCCCGAGGTCAAAACTCCAAATGAACCATTCTTAGACTCCAAAGAGTCGCCAAGCCAAGAACCCATCTTCGAAGCCGAATTCGAAGACAATTTCGAATTCAAACCAGAAATCCCAATAAAAGAAACACCTGAGCAGGATATACCTCCAGCAGAACCTATCAAAGAAAAACCTAAACTAACAGAAAAAGAACTCAAAGTACTAAGATTAGAACTTGAAAACGCAGAGTATTTGCAACTTAAGTCGCTACTGCAAGCAAAAATCAACTCTGAACAGTTTGAAATAGTCAAACTTAGGAGCCATGTTGCTTTGAAGAATAAGGCTGAAGGTGGTCAGACGACAAAAGATAGCAAGGAAAACAACGTGCAAGATGAACAGGAGTTAAGACAAAGACTGATTAAAGAGAATGCGTTACTGGAGCAAAAGAGAATCAACCTTATTAACCAAATATTTCAGGAGAGAGTCGCTTGTATTCAGTTGAAGATAGAGCTCGCTATGAAAGAAATATTGTCGAAGTCATAAAGAGGTTGAATCTATGTTAACAGTGCTTAAAACATGTCGTAGAGTGAATCTCACAATCAACTATTCTGCCACTATACAAGGCAATGAATAAATGATTTGTCAGAACAAAAATTGTGAAAAAAATTCCTTTGTTTATCGAAAAAAAAAAATCTTTATGTGATAGATGTTACAAGATTAAATAAACGTTCCAGTAGAAGATTTAAGTTATGAATAGCAGTTTATATCTCATACTCTTTGGAATAGAATCCTATAGGAAACTGCTTCCTTAGTCGAGTGATATGAAAAACTAAATCGAGTTACATCACTTCAAACTCGAGAACGGCTGGCCCAATTTTCATATACTTCAAATTTTTGTATTCGATGGCGTTCCAGACTCCAGACAACTAATACACGATCAATGCAGGGAACTCCTTTTTGTTTTATATTTAGCATGACAGCTTATTACATAACGTTTCTGAAACGAAATTCGCAGAAAAAATATAAAATGAACTATAAATGTCAAGTGTATTTAGTCTCAAACAATATTAGACTAAGTTTATCTATAAATGTAATATATTCGTTAAACATTGCATGATAACTGTATTTGACTAATAACTATCCACTTAGTGACATTGACTCAATTTTAGTGTTGCAATCTTATCTACAATACACTATCTTAGACTGCAATGCAGGACGACCAGTGTAACTTGGCCTCTCTATACTTGACGTTCCTAGAGAGAGGGAGACATAAATATATAGAAAAGAAATGGAGTAAACGAGATAGTAATAGTCGGACACCTCTCGAAACTGGTCAAGTTATTTGGAATGTACTATTATATTTGTTTATATATCATTAGGTTATTAAATAATGTTAGTAGCACTTGAATGTGCAGAAATAAAGAAATTATTGTAATAAATAATTCGTTTTACTATTACTTGACATTGGAAATTACATAATTATTATTAATGATGTAGATAAAAAGATTAACAATGAAGTTCCTTATTCATTAATCAAAATTTTATTGATCAAAATAAATGTTGTACTGAGAAAAAAAAATCGTTTTTTTTCCTCATAGGTGTTTTGTTACTTTGCTTGTGGTGCGGATCATTGCAACCTGGTGAAACTGTAATTATGTCCACGACCATTACTCATCGAAAACTCAGAAAAAAAATATATGAAAACTACGACACTGTATTTTCCCCCCAAAAAGCTAGGCGCCTTTAGATGCGAAAAAGACCACAGTCAAAAAAGAACAAAATGCGAACGATGACCGCTATCTGTGGACATCTGTCCTGTTTTTTTTTTGTAGATATGTCATCGCAAAATTCGCAGATTACAATTGACGTAAATGATATACCAATCTACAATCTTATAATACAAATCTTAAACTCATTCACTGATAGACAACTTCACGCTTAAAACACCGGGGAATTATATTTTTACAAGCAATAATATCTACAAGAAAAGTTGTCACTAAAGAAATAATAAGGAACCGATTAAAAACAATTCTATTATGTGAATATAAACGTTAATAGTTTTAATAATTACAAGAAATTGATGTCCAGATTTCTGGTTCCCTTAACTCATAAATCCGGCCAGATTTTCATATTTTTTTGCATAGAGATAGGTTTGATCTGTCAGTAACAAGGAATTGGTACCTAATGTCTAATCTTACATGATAAATACTACATTGTTTAATGAAATAAACAATCTTCCTTCAGGAGCAGTCGTGTAAAAAATAGCAATAATTCAAAATAAGAACTTAGTCACGTTACGAACTTTTCTAGAAATTATTAAATCAATCTTACAATAAATTATCAAGTTCTAATTGCATAACCATATTACGGGTTTATCAACATAATATCAAAATACTATCGCGATATTACTTATCTTAATGACTTATAGATTTCTTGTAAATTGATATTTTATGTGCACTACAATTGTATATTATTTACTGTTACCGGTCAATCATATGACTTCTGAATTTCTTTTTTCCTGTTTTGTCTATCCGAATATATTAAATGATATTTATACAGTGTCCCTGAAGTCGACGTTCAAATGGCATCAGATGATCGGCAATGTTCCAACTGTTATCAGATTTTTTTTTAATTCCAAGTCATATAGTTTTTTAATTACAACGAGTTATGTGTCTTCCACGAAAAAGTACACCCTGTGCCAGCCTTTCGAGTCTAGCTGTTACAATCTTCATATTTTTGTTTGTGTTTTTGCTTACGTTATCTTGAATAGTGCCCCAGTATTATGGAATCATAAATTCTGGGCCAAATGCTTTAGTTTGAAAAAGAATATATAATTTTCATCAATCATCGTCAATATCACCTAGTGCCATTTGATCGTCAACTTCAGGGACACCTGTTTAGTATATATATAGTCCTCCTTACTGATTTCGGTAACGATCTCCTGTCGTGCTATACTATACCTGTATAGTAAAAATACTATAAAACAGCCCTTTTAAACTTAGCTTCACGTTTTAAAAGTGCCTATTTAACATAACATCACGCCTCTTATTCCCGAAGGGGTAGGCAGAGGTACACATTACGGCACTTAATGCCACTGTACAATGTAACACATACTTTTCACCATTTATGTTTTGAGTCCCATGTAATAGAGGGTGAGCCTATTGCCATATACCGGGCACAATTCCAACCTCCGTGCTAGTACTCAGAAAATTTTAAAACCCAGTAATATCTTGCCCGACCTGGGAATCGACCCCGAGACCCCTTGCCCGGCAAATGAGGCAGAGAGAGTTAGGAATTAATTTAAATAAATGCCTTCGACATTAAACAAAGCTATATGACTTTTCCTAACTGACTTAGAGGTCATAGTCTCTGGACCTTCCTACATAGACATGTTATACTTATCTGTTATAGGTAGTAATATTATCATCATATTCAGGTTATAACGTATTGATTAAAGGATATTACAATATATATATTATACATAATTATTATACACTTCTTAAGTACTTTTATCAGAAAAGGATTATATAAAACATGTCTACGGTGTGTACACCTATCGATGCCATATCAGTCGTGTGAAATGACGTGTAGGTACTTAAATATGTAGGGTAAATAAAACTCTTCAAGGAAATAATTCTATGTTTCTATTATAACTTACATGAGACATTAAATTGATTCATCTTTTTTTTGAGGGCGTAAATTATCCAATGTTTTCTCCCGCCCGGGTGAGACGAGAGGGAGTGTCGGAGTCTTACTGACTAAAAACCACCCCGTTCCTACTCCTGCACTTCGAGCCGGCTCCGTTCCAAATCGGGGTCTGGATAATAAAACCTTATTACGGATCTTATAGTAACAATATTAAGGACAAAGATAAAACAGAATTAAGGATGGGTTCCTCTTTGAAGCGTAGTTAATAACAAGCACCAACAGGAAACTATTGAGGTTTACCGCATTACAACTACAACTACTATATATTGTAATTTATGATTAATTAAAAACCTACGAACAAATTTACTTGGGTAGACGATAACAATAATTCGTCCAGCAATCATGTCAAGTATTCTGACAAGTCTCAATGGGCATTCATATTTCAACAACTGTTTGACGCCTCATTACATTCTGTAATTAGAAATGATGTTAGCAATACAGATTACAAATATGCTACTTAACATAACGCCTTTAATTCCCCAAATGGACTGATAAAGATGCAGGTTTGTAGGTAAATAGCTAGCAATAGCAACCAATTTTTTTGCTTGTTATGTTGCAAGAATAGCAGTTTTCACAATCACGACTAAACTGTCACTTAGCTAAAAGTTCCTTACTTGTACTGTTAGGTGTCACTTAAAAGTTGGTGGAAACCAAAATTTCGTTAAACGACAATTTCGTCATACGCCCCTTAAATATCAGATACGGAGTACCAAGGCAGGGGCGAATCTATAACATTACACCATGCTCTGGTAACATATTCTGTAAGTACCTACTAAAAGGAATGTCTATAATTGTAACCCCAGTTTAATATCGCGACACTAGTTCAATAGTTGTGCTTGCTACAACGAGATCTAGCTTAGTTATATCGTCACAGAATGAGTACTCTTATATCCAGCATACCACAGCCGGTACAAAAATATGAAAACTCTGAAACAAAGAAATCATCACGAATTTGCACAATAAAACATGAAGTCTATAATGTTCCACTTATAATGAAGTAACAAGCGTTGTAGTTTTTAGTCACGCGATACTAAACAAAAGAATAAAAAAAATATCTCCGTATTCCAGCGATTATTGCAATAAATTTTGTGTTTTAGGAGTCATAAACTATGCGAATTGATTCATTCTTTAGTTATCCTTCAGCTTCATAAAATAAATACGAGAAAATAATCAATAATAAGTTTAGTTTGTATAATTGTCTTTTCACTTATTCGCATGAACATAATTTGATAAAATTTGGCATATGATAGATCGTGGCTTGATAAACATGAAGGATATTTTTCATCCAGGAAATGTGTATCACAGAACATATACAACATGTAACGTAATTAACACACACCCTCAAACACCCCAATTAGAATATTATGTTAGCTAAATTTTTAATTTAACATGTATATGCATCCTTACTGGTCTTGTCATAAGGATTATTTTTCTTTATTTTGTATTGAATGATAGAATTTGTATGAAAACAAATAAAACTGCGATTTTAAAACTCTTATTGCTTTGACTTACGGTCCATTTCGATTTTTTTTAACAATACAGGGTTAATAAGACAATAATTTCCGTAGTTTTAATCATTTTTGGGATAAAAAATTACCTATACTAAAAATTATATAAATCGATTCAGTTAACGATTCTGAACAAACGATTTTCAGGATGTGCGTTATTTAACCCTTTAACCGCCGACAACGTGATATTACGGTTTTCGAAAGCTGTGTCCGAATCGCCACATACGTACAATCACGTTATTTTATTAAAAATCTTCTTATAGTGCACAAACTCCATATAAAATGTGTCAATTTCAAGATGTAGGGTATAATCTTTATTGTTATGGATATTTCTCAATGTTTTGAGTGATAAATACTGTGAAATTTGAGGTTTAATTAAATTGTGGTCACCGTCTCCATTATCTGTATCGCCAATCACGTAATTTTACGAGTACTACGGATGGGGCGAATTCGAAAAATACTTAATAGGTTGTCTAAGAACAAACAAGGCACTATAGATATTACTGTAACTATTTGCAATGAAAGTGTATACTTTCATTAGAAAATAACCATAGTGTTACTTTGATACAAGTATTTGTACTAATTAAAATGTATTTAAGTTTAAAATTATTTAATATTTATAACAATAATATAAAAATTTTATAACGCAGAACCGCACTAGTACGGACAATCGCCGGTCGCCATCACCGTAATATTACGTGCGGCCAAGGACATTATAGCGCTGTATTGGGAGTTGCCCTAGCGCCGTCACCGTAAAATCACGTT